GACAATTGTACGAAAAAACAAAGAAGCTCGCCGGGAACTATCGTAAACCAGAGCGACCAGTGAAAAGCAAGGAAGGGAAATTAATCAGCAACACTGACGAACAGCGAAATAGGTGGGTAGAGCACTTTAAGGAACTATTGAATCGACCAGCTCCACTGAGCCCACCCAACATCGAAGCAGCATCCACGGACCTCCCAATTAATATTGGCGCACCTACGATTGAAGAGATAAGTATGGCCATCAGACAAATCAAGAACGGCAAAGCAGCAGGACCAGACAACATTCCAGCAGAGGCAATGAAAGCAGATGTAGAAGCAACTGCGAAAACATTTCACATCCTCTTCAAGAAGATTTGGGATGAGGAACAAGTACCATCAGATTGGAAAAAAGGATACCTGATCAAAATACCAAAGAAAGGCGATCTGAGCAAGTGTGAAAACTACAGAGGTATCACTCTTCTTTCAATACCAGGCAAAGTCTTCAACAGGGTATTGTTAAACAGAATGAAGGACTTCGTAGACACCCAACTTCGAGATCAACAGGCCGGATTTCATAAGGATCGACCGTGTACTGACCAAATTGCTACATTACGGGTCATTGTGGAACAATCAATTGAATGGAACTCACCGCTCTACATCAACTTCATCGACTACGAGAAAGCATTCGATAGCATGGACAGGAAAACACTATGGAGGCTTCTCCAACACTATGGCGTGCATGAGAAGATAGTCAACATCATACGGAATTCTTATGATGGATTCAACTGCAAAATCGTACACGGAGGTCAGCTGACAGACTCTTTCGAGGTGAAGACCGGTGTCAGGCAAGGTTGCTTACTCTCACCCTTTCTCTTTCTCCTGGTCATCGACTGGATTACGAAGACGTCAACATCCTGGGGGGAAACACGGTATACAGTGGACAGCTAGGACGCAGCTAGGCGATCTGGATTTGATAGCTGATCTAGCTCTTCCATCACAGACGCGACAACAGATGCAAGAGAAGACGACCGCTGTAACAGCAGCTTCTGCAGCAGCAGGTCTGAACATACATAAAGGGAAACGTAAAAAATATGCGGCAACCAAATCACTTTTAATGGAAATGCCTTGGACAACGTCAAAACCTTTCCCTATATGGGCAGCATCATCGACAATCAAGATGGACCTGATGCAGATGTAAAGGCAAGGATCGGCAATGCAAGGGCTGCATTTCTACAGTTGAAAAATATTTGGAACTCCAAACAACTTTCAACCAAAACCAAAATCAGCATTTTCAATACAAATGTGAAGACAGTTCTACTGTATGGATCTGAAACTTGGAGAACTACCAAAGCCATCATCCAGAAGATACAAGTGTTTATTAACAGTTGTCTACGCAAAATACTTCGGATTCGTTGGCCAGACACCAGCAGCAACAACCTACTGTGGGAGAAAACAAACCAGATTCCAATGGAGGAGGAAATTAGGAAGAAGCGGTGGAAGTGGATAGGACACACATTGCGGAAAGCACCTAACTGCGTCACGAGACATGTCCTGACATGGAACCCTCAGGGCAAAAGGAAAAGAGGAAGGCCAAGGAACACACTACGCCGAAAAATAGAGAAGGATATGAGAGGAATGAGCAAACATTGGACAGAACTGGATAGGGAAGCCCAGGACATAGTTGGTTGGAGAAAACTGGTTGGCGACCTATGCTCCATTGGGGGTAACAGGCGTAAGTAAGTAAGTATTAGTGTATCTAGCTAAATCCATCACATAAAAGACCATAAGTGTAAATAAAACTGATATTGATGAAAATGTTTGCTGGTTATTTTTATTGCCAACTGAAGTGCACGAAGATTCTGTGCTGCGCTTATCTGATTTGACTTTATGCAAGTACAATCACATCTATATGTTACATAATTAGTCAATAGATAGTTAACTTATTCAAAGCTCAACCATGTCAAATGATAATTTACAGTTAAAAGGTTTCAGTGATACAAACTATTGGATGCTTTTTCTGCTTACATTGTTTAATGTTGCTGGCCAGAGTTAGGAGTATGAATCAATAGTTGAATCATGGAGAATGGGAAACTATTCTTCAACAAAAGTATGCATTCTGTTGTGCCAAATATGATATTGACATTCATAGATATATCTTTATTCAAGTTGAAAATAATTTCTCGGTTATCAGCTGAGTTTGCATTGATTATTTTTCGAGAATTATTTCCTGTGCACAGAACGAAGGGTGTTAGCCTTCTATAACTGTCAAGATTTTTTGTTTTATCTGTCATTTTAAAAACAGATTACATGTGTAAAGTAACTATTCTGTTACTTTACAAACACATTCAAAATATGAAATATTTTATTTTACTGATTCAAGAAATATCCCTCAACTTTACTAAATATTGTGCTTACTTAAGAGATAATCTTCTTTAAGCAAAAAGAGATAAAAGGTTGTTGTTATATTAGTGAAATATATTTCGATTTAGCGGTTACCATATCAACTGGTCTTTTTATAGTACAAATTTTTGTAGAAACAAGTAATTTTCTATAATAACTTCAGTATTGTACTTGTTAGATTGCTTCTATAAAACATAGTTCAAATAATTCTATCATCATAATTCACTGGTTGTATGTTAGTATTTATGGAACTTGTTTGTTTTACTGGGATCAAAATAATAGATTATCAAGATATATATATATTTAATGAATTGTTTTATGAAGTGAAACTGACCAATAAGATATGATTCAAATACTTCATTTCAACTGGTTAGGTTTACTCACTCAGTTTATAGCGTTTATATAAAGCGAATGCATACAGTTAGTAGTACACATTCATCATTTGTTCTATATTAGTAAATCAAAGAATCATTGTTTCGGTCGAAATCAAAAGAAGAAACCAACTATGACTGGATCTACAAAACCGGATCTAGATCGTTTAGGTTATTTTCGAGAAATGTCTTATGTTACAATTGGTGATCCATACATTGATCTAGGGAAATTTATTTTTAAAGGAGATTCTTGCAAAGGTAGACAACTTTATGGGATAAGTGCTAAATCAAGATGTGGTTTAAACGATGGATATTTTGGGCCATACAATCGAGTGTTTATCGGTGAATCATATACAGATATGAAAAAAATCAAGCATGAGGAACGTTTGAAGGAAAAACTTAAAGAAGTTACTAAAGTTTTCCTTCCATCTTCTGGTTCTAAACAAATGAATGGATCCGGAAGTTATTGGGGTTCATTTTCCAAACCAATTCCATATTTCCGTAATCAATTCACTAAATCAACTAAACAATCTGATGGAAAGAATTTTTACACATCACCATCTAAAAAAGGCGCTGGATCTTGTTATCCGAATGTAACAATTGGAAAATTACCGGCTTTTGTTTCAGAACCATATTTGGATCGTATAGATAAAACAAATGATATGAAAGATTATAAAAATGCAATAATTGGTCGTAGAAGTTTTATTCAATGTGGAAACATAGATTATTTTGGTCCGGATCCATATAAACAACCATATAGTATCATTAAAAAGCCTCTGAAACCTATAAAAACACAAACAAAACGAATCACTATTCCATTTCTACCATCTAATCCAGGTAAAGAACCAGGTGGTTACAAAGCTGGTACATTTAATCCATTTCCTAATTATATTTCTGAACCATATATTGATCCGTGTAGACGTATTAAAACACATCGTGAATCTAAAGTGTTTCTTCCATCATCTGGACCTAAATCTGCTCGATTTGATTCAATATTAACAAAAAATGTAAACATTGCTATAAATGCATCTAATTTTGACACTTTTAAATCTTTAACTGATTTATGAAATATATATTTTCATGGAAAAAACTATTGTCTTCTGAATGTTTTCAATGTAAGTTACCAATAAGTTTACCTTTTGTTGTATATGAATTGTAACTGAAAAAGATATTGAGAAATTCAAAATTGTTCTATAATATTGAACAAAAGAATATTTATGATATATGAGTCTTTATGATTGACATTTGAATGTATTGAAACTTGGTTATAATTATGATCTGTAGTACCCTATCTGGTAGGCTAGGGTACTGACAATCTGCTTCAAGCAAATATTATTATCTAGGCATTTTCATATCACATATTATGCGTTTATTATCATTCACCAGTTTGTTAAATAATCAATATATGGTAAACTGTTTAATTATCGACCAAGTGGATTTTAGATTTGGATAAAGTTTTCAATTTCAGCTACTATAAATGGCAATAATATACAAGTGGAAACTGTTAATTACCATTCGGATTTTATTTCAAATTATAACATTTTAGAATGAGTACTGAGCATTGCTTGATTTACTTTGATTTTTAAACATTTGAAATCATCAATCAACCAATGTTAGAACACCATTAGAAACCTTGAAGCACTGGACGGGACTCATCAGTATTGCGCATCCACAACTCCTGCACCTCGCAGGATTCGAACCCGGGTCCTTTGGTACTGTGCGCGAACTCCTAACCATCGGAACACTGGGCCGGCGTTGAACAGTGTTATTGCCTAACTCTGATTGATCTACGGATTTTGCGCGACCTCACCCCTTTTCCTTTGGTAGTTACTGCCTACACTCAACAGGGTTGAACTCTATTGATCACGTCTTCTCAACTAGAACTCCGAGAATTTCCTCACGAAGCTAGTCACTAGTGAGCACGGTTACGATATTTTCAGGCAGAGCTTTGGCGGTTTGTGTTTTTACATATTTGGAATCATCAATCAATCATTGTTAGACCACGATTAGAAACCTGGAAGCACTGGACGGCCGTTTCGTCCTGGTATGGGACTCATCAGCAGTACGCATATTTTCGCGTCTTTGAGAGAGTTGAGATATTCAAAAAGAATTAAAAAAATAAGAATCACTTGTTATATGATCTAATTGCAGTTACTATTGAATAAAATAGTAAAATAGTATATTTGATAATGATGATAGTTGAACTTTATTATTTTTCATGAAAACAAACTTTTATGCTTTGAATAGACAATTTTTTCAAGGAACAATTAAACAAATTTGTAATTTTTATCAACTTCTGTCAGTTAGCTAAGGTATGAAATAAATCATTTCTTGTATTATTTAACATTCTTTCTCACGACATGATTTTTAATGATCTGTGATTGATTTTAATGAGTGTTTTCTTTTTTAAAATTAGTAATTGCTTTGTTACCAACTAATACTACTTATTATGATGTAAAGTTTTTCGAATCTAATCAGATAAAAATTATGCTGAACATAGAGTGATTATTTAGTGATTCGACAGTCAAACTGTAATGAAATGAGTTAAACTGTGTAGTAGTGTAGTCTTTTGAGTTACTGACCAATCTGTATCCATAGGCGTTAGTGATCGTTATTCAGCAGAACTACATCAACGGTTCATGTATGAATAGAACGAATTAGGCTATGTGTCTGCCACCACTGTTATTACTACTGATAGAGCTACTGAGGCAAAATCTAATGATGTCGATAGTTTAGTGCTTCATTTGTTTATATTACTAGAGAATCGTTAAACTAGGATGAAAAAAGTATCCACTGTTTTTTGGTCTTTAATGATTTTTCAGCTCATTCCAATCTATAACGAATAATGATAGATTTCTGTATTCAAAAAAACAATATTTTTAAGTAATCGAAATTAATTCATATATTGAAGATTTAAATGAATTGAAAAAGCTTCTTCACTGTTTTAGTATTATGGATCTAAAATAGAAACACACGTCATTAAAGTACTTTGCCTGTATGTCAATCTGAAAGAGTTAGTGTGCTCACATTATTCACCCGAAACTCATGTTTAAAAACTCATCAATCTTTCAAGAAGCATGTTATAAAAATCAGTCAAATAAAACTTCCACAATGCCATTCGTCGTAATAAATTCTTTAAATTTTCTATTAAGTCTATCTGTGTTCCTGTTGAAGATGTTAGATCCCCAAGACTCAATTGATAAATGCCTTATTTTGGATTTCACGTTTGCGAGCATGAGCTGATCAGTTGACCTTGAGATTTCATTTCCCACCAGGAAAATCCATGGCTGCGATTGGCTGCTGTGTATTTTAGTGTGCTATTTTCGTAACTGTCCCAAGGACGTTTCTATGGTGTATTAATAAACGAGAGTTGTGTGGTTGATTGTATTGTGACTGCTGGGTGTTTGTAGAATATACTTTCTACGCTTGCAAAGCCTTCTGTTTACAGCTTAGGATTCAAGGTAGCCTATCTGGACGCTGGTAATTGTCTCGTTCGCGTTTATCGACTAAGGTGAACTCGTAATAGCTTCATGCGTGACAGTTCCTCAAGTAGCCTTTCTATTTTATTGTTTTTCGTCACACTCTGATCTTATTGAGACAATTATTAGAAACCAGTAATTATCGGATAGCTGTTTTATTTCACTGTCGAACGCGACACCAGTATGTACCTAGAAGAACGCCAAGAATCAACCTCAGGAAATTTATGTCTTTTATTGAGAATTTAAATTTGTTACGGCTGAGTTGTAATTCATTGGTTTGTATTTCTAACTTCATTCATTTTCAATGCCCTGAAAATATTTGTGTCTCTGTTTGTCAAATTCATTTCATCCTTATGGAAACCGAAAGAAAGAGAACAAACTTACTGATAATCCATTTATAGTAAAAACCGGTCATGTAATCGTACTTCTGGGTCCCATACTAGGTTTAAGGGACCATCTAGTGTTTTAAGGGTTAGGGTTCAACTAAAATCAGTTCATGATTTCAACTATGAGAATAATGCAGTTTCTACAGATGACTTTTGCTACTAAAAAGATCAAGCTTAATTCTTCCATTTTAAAACCTCTTTCTTGACCATGTACATATTTCAGGTCATGATCTGCAATTTCTGATGCCATTTATACATATCTACTTTATGTCACTTTGTTTATAGTCCAATTTTTCTATCCTTATAGTTTCAATTTAATATTTAATAACTGTTCGACGGTCTATAATATATTTTTAATCACAGTTAAAAGTAAAATCCTATGGAATTTAACAAAATATTCATCACTGGTTACTTATTTATTATTTGATAAGTTGAGTAATTTGTCGACAAAAAATTTATAATCGTTTCGTTAAAAAAAATTTATTCCATTGATCTATTATTTGAGGCTGTATTACACCAGCAGGTTATTTTTATGGCTACCGCAATCACATAATCCTAGGAATGAGATTCGTGACAACTTTTACGACTAATAGCCATTTCAAACAATAGATTTCTTGAATTAGGTATTTTTAAAATTTTCATTTCATTTGACACAGTTCTGATCATGAATTAATTTCAAGCGAACCAACTGATCCGAACCTAAGAGTGGTTTCTCAGTAGCCAAGACGTTTCACTGTCACTCACAATGTCGCAGGTTCGAACCTCGCACTAATGATTTTGCTTTAGGGCAACCGAGTAGTACGATCAGCCCAAAATCAATCATATTAATGGGTATCTAGTAAACTAGTTGAATGAATATAGGAATGTTTAGGTTTGTTCCTATACTCTTCAGTTGTGTGTAATCATAATTCTACCCAAGGTTATACATAAGATTCATTTCCCACGATTTTCTAGCGTTTACTCTTGATGTTAGTTTTTGCTATAAAAACTAATTTCAAAACATATTTCTACTAGGTAGCACTTTATTGTTGCTATAACAAAATTTAATCTTGAATAAATAATAGTTTATTAGATAAATTTTTCAAAATAAATTGAACTTAAATATTTATCTGATTTATCACATTTATGACATAACAAAACTAAATAGATAATTGATATTTTTTCTATATTATGTAGTCACTTTATATTATTTTCAAAACTTTTCACAGATATAAAATTTGTCAATTCAAAATTAATCGTATTGTTCGAAAAGAACAACTTGACAGTGAGAAGTAGACTGATGAATTTTAGAAAGGATTACAATTTATTACTTTACCGAAAAATAAAAACAACGCTCAGTTTCTAGAATGAAATATACATAGTAATTATTAAGAAGAAAATAATTTCGACATTACTGAATATATTAAGGGTAATGAAATGATTCGTTGACACTGTTTACGTTTAGAACTTGAAGAACTCCTGATTAGACTTCGGTGTAGAATGTTGATATAACTAGTTGGTGGTTGGAAGCAGTTGCCAGGCGACCCTGGACCTAGGTTTCGTGCTGTTTGGCACTTTACAGAAAGACGCACCCGTGATCTTGAGAGAAAAAATTCTGTCTGACGGATTCGATCCCTTGGCACCCAGCTTCACAGTCAGAGACGGTACCTTCGAGATAAACGAGCATCGACTGACCTCCTGTAGGACTGAGATGTAATTACAACTGATTGATCATTACCTAATGACCAACGTCACGTGTGTCAGGTTTTTTTTTCGTGTTGTGTGTAATGTGGCTACTAATCTAGGCGAGAACTATGTTGATAAGTAGGTTATGGATTGGAGGTAGTCTTAAGCGTTCACCGATAAGAATTCGATCGCACGACACAGTAGTCCACAGGATATGACGTTAAGTAAAGCAAAACTAACAGTCAACGAAAATGAGGTAGATTCAAAGAAACAGCTGAAACCGAAATCTGAGACTGAATAGTAATTCCAAATGAACAAAAATGCAAACATAATATACAGTGGTACAAAAGAGTTACATTGAGAAAATAGTTTGATGGACTTCGGCATACATGCACGCAAGTACAGACAAAATGTATCATGCAATCATAACCACATAACAAATAAATGATTTGTATGAAACCGGTTACGTAACAAAAATGATACTAAATTAAATTCATCATCAGTGTGAAGCAGTATCAGTGATAAGTTTTTCTAATT